ACGTCCGCAGAGGGAACCCGAGGGTCCGCCTCCCCTCCCCCGCCCCGCGGCCGCGCGGACTACAACTCCCGGCGGGCTTCGGGGCGCGGGGCGCACGGCCTGGCTGCTCTAAAGGCTCATGGGAGGTTTATTTTTATCTTCCCTTTGTCAGCACAGCTTAAAAAGAAAGAAGGGAACCCAGGGGCCGGAGGAGCCGTCCCTTCCCGACAGAGGGAACAGCCAACTTCCGCTCCACCGAGGGGTCAGGTCAGGCTGCAGCCGAGAACCCCTCAAAATGCGCTAGTGGGGCAGCTCCGCTGGTTTGAGCGCTTTCCCGAAACGCCAAGGCTGTGGGTCAAGGCACAGACCACGAACCAACCAGCGAATGCATATGTAAGTGGAACAGCAAACTGATGTTTTGCTTTGTAAAATCAATTTAAAAAAAAAAAAAAGTTCTCAAAATGCCTGGCACAGCCCTGGCCGGTGTGGCTCAGTGGTTGCAGCGTCGGCCTATGCACCTGAGGATCCTGGGTTCGATTCCCAGTCAAGGGCAGGTCCCTGGGTTGCTGGTTCATCCCTGTCCTTTCCCCTTCCCAGGTCAAGGTGTGTGGGGGAGGCAACCAATGGATGTGTCTCTCTCACATCATGTGTTTCTCTCTCTCCTCCCTCCCCGCTCCCTTCCACTCTCTAAAAACCAACGGAAAAGTATTCTCCGGCGAGGATCAACGACAACAAAAAACAAACAAAAGCTTGGCACAATGTAGGCATTCAGTAAATATTTGTGAAATTTATGAAAGAAGAATATATGACTTGGTACATAAAGGGGCAAATTCCACATGGCAACGTGCTAGCCTCAGGAGAGATTTGAAGCCCGGGGCTTACACCATTATCCCCCCCCCCATTCCCTTACCTCCCCCACTGAAAAAGTTGAAATGATGAGAACACAATGACTTGGGCCAAAACTTATGTTATATGTGGAGGTGGAAAAGAGCCATATATTTTAGGAGGGGGAAATGAGGCAGATCACAGGAGGAAAAATCCAGAGGGAGGACATCGGGCCCAGGACTCCTTCCGGAGGCTCAGAAATACCAGGATTCCAGGAAGTCTCACAGCATGAAAGGGACCTGACTGCATTAGCTGGTGGCAGCCAGGATGGGGAAGACCAGGCAGTTGCTAAGAATGCTTTCATATCCTAGGAGTCAGCATCCTTGGACAGGCAAGGAGTGGGCAGGAGGGACCCTACATCGTCCCCACGGAGAGAGATCCAAGGGGCTGAGGAAAGAGAAAAGGGGAGGTCATCAGAATCTCTGAGATCCTCTGGGTCTCTGCTGCTCACCTGTGGGTGTATGCGTGTGTGAGTGTGTGCATGTGTGTGTGTGTGTCTGTCTCAATCTCTGTGCTACTCTATGGGTTTCTGTCCCCCTCTGAGTCTGTTTCCCCCACCCCAGTTCTCCACCCCCACCTCTCTCTGTGCCTCTGTCTAGATCTCTGCTCCCCTCTTTTCAGGTCTCTGTCCCCCTCTGTCTCTTCCCTCTTCCTGCTGCACACCTGGTAGCCCCTTCCTCCTCCTCCACAGCAGAGCTCCTCCTACAGCCACGGCCGTGAGCAGTAAGAGGCCGATGACGATTCCAATCACTGGCACCAAAGACGTGGCTGATGAATCTGCAGCCAAAGAAATGCTGTCAGATGTTGACTGGACCCTCTGTCCCAGCAGAGCCAGGACAGGGGGCTGGGAGTTCTCAGTCCCTCCCAATTTTAGAGATCCCAACACCAAGTTTTGGGGAGTGGGTGTGGGCAGATGAAAGACCAGCCAGCTGATATGCTGGGTCTGGGCAGAACACCCCCAGGTTGGATGTAAGAACCAGCCACAGCAAGAGTGGTCTCAGTCACACTGGCCAAGGGACCTGCAGCAGCAGGGGGTGGTATTAGAACTCAGAGAGGAGGGTGGGCACAGAGCAGTAGGTCAGATTCAAAGCAGTAAATGGTGGGTCTTGATGAGGACTGGCAGCAGCAGGACGGAAGGTGGTCAGACTTAGGGAGGACTGTCCATAGTGGTTAACAGGGGGGCCAGGCTCAATGAGGCCAGCAGCAGCAGCAGCAAGGAAGGCTAGGGAGGACAAGCGACACAGGACAGAGGGCTGCCAGGCTTTGGAAGAATTGGCAGTAGTGGGGCACGAGGCAGTCAGACACAGGGATGACTGGCGGCAGTGGGGTAGGAGGTGGTCAGACTCAGAAACGCGTAGTAACATCACCCAGTTCCACGATGAGAGGCTGCGGCAGCCCCGCATGCTGCACCACACAGCGGTAGTGATGCTCGTCGCCACTTTTGACTGTTAGTGTCGACCAGGCATGGAAGGAGCCGTCGCCATTGGGGCCAAAGTCGCTCTCACCGGAGCCCACGGCTAGCCCATTCCTCAGGAATCGCAGTTGTAACTCCGGGGGGTAGAAGGAGAAGGCACTGCAGGTGAGCACAGAAAAGCCCGGGCTGCCTGGTCGGGCCTTCAGGCGCATGGAAGGTGGCTCTGCAGACAAACAGGCAGACAGGCCTGAGCCCCAGCCCACAAACCCCCAGGGCTAGGCCCAGTGCAGGGCCAGACAGGGACATAGAGAGGCCTCCAATCCTTTGGCTCTACCCAGTAGGCCCTACCATGTGCCCTGCACTGTGCTGCACCTGGAGAATATAACAGTAAAAGGAGCAGGACCTACCCAGGAGAACAGAGACCAGACCTATCCACCAGCGGGGTATCCAGCTCTCATCCATTCCTTCCGATAGCTGACATGTACTGAGCATCTATCATTGACACAGCAGTGAACAAGACAGACAAAAGTGCCCTGGCCAGTATGGCTCGGTTGGTTCAATTCCTGGTTAGGGCACAAACCCAGGTTGTGTGTCAATCCCTGGTTAGGGTGTGTACAGGAAGCAACTGATAGATGTTTCTCTCCCACATTAATGTTTTTCTCTCTCTCTTCCTCTTCCTCCCTCTCTCTCTCTCTCTCTCTCTAAAATCAATTTAAAAAAACAAAGAATACAGGATGGTCATTATCAGCACTCTATTCAACATTGTACTGGGGATCCTAGCCAGTGCAACAAGATAAGAAAAAGAAATAAAAGGTATTAAAATTACAAAAGAATATAAAACATATAAAAGATGACATGATCCAAAAGAAGCTATATAAATTTAATAGAAATAAGTGAATTCAGCAAAATTTCTGGATACAAAGGAAATAGAAAAATCAATAGTATTTCACCCTGGCCGGTGCAGCTCAGTGGGTTGAGCATCATCTCGTGCATCAAGAGGTTGCCAGTTCGATTCCGGTTCAGGGCACATGCCCAGGTTGCTGGCTTGATCCCCAGTAGGGGGCATGTAGAAGGCAGACGATTGATGTTTCTCTCTCAGGGGTGTTTCATTCCCTCCCTCACCCTCCCTCTCTCTCTCTAAAAGAAATCAATAAAAACATATTTTAAAAAGCAATAGTATTTCTATAAACTAGCTACAAACAACTAGAAAGTGAAATTATTAGAATTACCATTTACAGAACCATCAAAAAATGTCAGTACTTAGGAATAAATCTATACAAAGAGGTATAAGATCCTACATGGAAAACTGCCAATTATTACACAGAGAAGTTAAAGTACATCTAAACAAGTAAAGGGAAATACTGAATTCATGGATTAGAAGACAATATTGTTAAAAAAAAAAAAAAAAAGACAGTATTGTTAAGATGTCAATTCTCCACATTGACCTATAGATACAATTTAATTGTTATAAAAAATCCCTATAGGAATTTTTTTTGGCAGAAATGTATATGGAAATGCAAATGACATAGACTGACCAAAGCAATAAAGCTGGAGACCTTAGCTACTAGATATCAAAACGTTCCAAAAAGCTACATTAATCAAGAGAGTGAGTTATCCAAAATATATTAAGAACTCTAATAAGAAAAAAAGGCAAAAGTTCTAATTTAAAAATGGGCAAAAGCCCTAGCCAGTTTGGCTCAGTGGTTAGAGTGTCAGCCCCTCATACTGAAGGGTCCTGGGTTTGATTCCGGTCAAGGGCACGGGTTCAGACTCGATGAGTCTGCAGGAGGCAACCAATCGATGCGTCTCTCTCACATGGATGTTCCTCTCTCTCTCTCTCTCTTCCACTCTCTGAAAAAAAAAAAAAGGGCAAAAGACTCAAACAGCCACTCCCAAAGAGTGGACACCCAACTGGCCAATAATGTGAAAAAGTCCTCAACGTGGCAAGTCATCAAATCATTTATCTGATTAATGAAAAATTAATTCACAATAAGATACTGCTACACACCCACTAGAACTGATAAAATGAAATACAGAATCAACTTCTGGCAAACCTGTGGAGCAACTGGAATACACATACACAGCTGCTGGGAGTATGAGACTGGTTCAACTGCTTTGAGAGAACATGCAGCACACCTACTACAGCTAATCCCACAAGCAGACTATGACTTAACCACTCCACTCATGGGTATTAACTAAAAAAATGAAAATACAGGGTCATCAAAAGGCATGAATAAGAATGCCTGTAGCAGCTTTACTCGAAATAGCCCCAATCTGGAAATAAACCAATCGTTGATAAACTGTGGTATCAAACATGAAATGGAATAGTACTCAATAAAAAAATGAACTACCGATACACTCAACAGAGTCTCATGACACAAGCTGTGGTGAAAGATGCCAGACACAAACAAGCGCATACTCAGAGTTGTATGAAGTTGAAAACCAGGCAACGCTATGGCTACAGAAATCAGATTAGTTGTTTCTCTTGGGGGGTATGGAATTGGAGGGGACACAAGGAAATCTCTTGGGGTACTGGAAATGTTCTAGATCTTGATCTGGAAGGCAGGTACATGGGGACATATAAAAATTAATTGAAGTCCTGGCCAGTGTCGGCCTGTGCACCAGAGGGTCTCGGGTTCGATTCTCAGTCAAGGGCACATACCTGGGTTGTAGATTCGATCCCCGGTCCTGGTTGGGGCTCATGAGGGAGGCAACCAATCGATGTGTTTCTCACATTGATGTTTCTCTCTCTCTCTCTCTCTCTCTCCCTTTGACTCTCCCTTTGAAAAAGCAATGGAAAAAATACCCTCAGGTGAGGATTTAAAAAAAAAAAATACTATGATGATTGAATGAATAAAACAGTGGCATGAGAGACAATAATGGCAGTGGGCTGGGGCACACTTTAGCCAGGGTGGCTGGGGATGGCCTTGCTGACGAGTTGATATCCAAGATCAAACCTAAAGCATAGGAAGGGCCCAGCCATGGCAGGATCCCCTGGAAGAGAATCGCAAGCAGAGGGAACAGCAGGTGCAAAGGTACTGAGGAGGGAAAGAATCCGACATGGTGGAGGGCAAGGAGACCACTGGAGCGAAGATGTCCTGAAGTTACAGTGACGGGAAACAGCCAGATCATGTGGGGCCTGTGGACCTCAGTGTAGTTTGGATTTTAGTCTAACGCTAGTGGGAAGCTATTGGAATGGTTTTAAGCAGTGACAGGATGGGAGCTCACTTACACTTTAAAACACCCCTCTGATTGCTGGATAGAGGATAGTCCCTATGTAGGGCCAGGAGGGAAGCTGGGATTGCAAGGTGCAGGGACACTAAGGACCAAGGAGCTCTAATTCCAGCCCTTGAGAATTGCCCGGATGTGGATGTCATTACAGCTCAGAGTGACATGTGCTGTAATGGAGGTCACATGAGACATCATGGGAGCCCCAAAGAGGCAAATGAAAGCCTCGTGGGCCAGAGGAACGTCCCTGGGTGTGATGCCAGTGGAAATGAAAGGAGAATGGCAGAGGTGAAGAAATGGGAGGGTTGGCGTGAGCTCAAGGAACTCCAGCTGATTCCACCTGGCAGAGGGGGGCAGATGGAGACTGTGAGGCTCAGGAGAGGGACAGAGGCCACACCGTCTGGGGCCCCAGTGCCAGGCTGTGTGCAGGAGAGGGGCAGGGTCACTTCAGGGGGCAGAAAGACCCTCTGGGACAAGTGGGGGATGGAGGCTGGACGGCCAGGGAGGGGGCAGTGGGGATGGAGAGATCCCAGGGGTCAGATTCCTCTGGCGGCTGCTCACCCTTCCACTCCAGGTTTGTGCGGCCCATCTCCAGGTGGCTCCGCAGGCGCTGGGGGCAGGAGACCAGCAGGAAGTCTGTCTCCTGGTGCGCAGCCTCTGGCTGCTGCATCCACTTCTTGCTGATGGCCAGAGCCTCAGGCCAGTCTCCATCCCAGACGCCCGTCGTGGGGTCGAAACTCATGAACTCCTCGCCATTCAGGGCGAACGTGGCCACGGGCACTGAGGTGTTGTCAAGGCCCAACTCACAGCCCAGCAGTCCCTGCAGGACGTAGGAAACTGGGGGACCCACACACAGGGGATCAGGGCCCAGGGGCAGGGCTGGGCCCCTTGCCCCTCCAGCCCCCCCTCCCTCAGGCCCGGGAGTCCGGCCCCAGCCCCTCACCCTCTCGCTCCAGGACGGTGAAAGCGTCCAGGAAGAGCTGCTGCTGGCGCTTCATGTCCGCCGTCTCCTTCTCCCAGTACCAGGACGCCTGGTTTTCCCAGACCCACGAGGCGCAGGGGTCGGCCTCCTCCCGCAGGCTGTTGTATTTCAGGTACTGCAGAGGCCCCACCCAGCCCGACACCCAGAAGGCGGGGGTCCCCTGGGCCGGGGAGGACACGGCGGTGAAGTGGTACATGAGGGAGCGATGGCTCTCTGCAGGGAGACGGAGGTGAAGGGGGCAGATGGGGCGGGCACCCCAGAGGAAGGACAGCCTGGACGGAGGGGACAGCTCAGGGATGGAGGGACAGACGGGGGGGGCAGGGACCTGGAGACGGGGGCCAGGTGGCTCCCAGACACGCGGGGCCCAGCAGGAGAAAATGGAAAAGTGAACCGCGGCGGAGGACGCCGCGCCTGGCTCCCGGGGAACTTCAGATCTTGCCCGTGCGCCCCTTTCCCCGCGGGGCGCCCCTTTCCCGCCCCGACAGCCCCGCCCGGCGCCCCTCACCTGCGCGCAGGGTCCCGGGCAGGAGGACCAGCAGGAGACAGAGCCCCCAGGGCTGAGGCCGGGGGACCCGCATCCTGAGAGGGAGACCTGGGGCGGGAGGAGGCGCGTGACTGCGCGGGACCCCCG